CTAAATATCAGCAAGGGAAGAGCAATATTCTTGAATTATACTCTGGGAAACAGAATACTGCAATAACCTGTGTGTAACCATCTATTACTCACAGGTCCCCAGTGGACTGGCATGCAGATTCCACGGGTCATTCTCCATTTCTAAAATTCTCAGTTTTGAAAAGCCATAGTAAACTAGAGAAAAGCATGGCTTGAATTTTTGCTTTCACATCTTCCAGAAGTTATGAAGCTGGTCTCAGAACAAGTGACTCCTGTGTGGAAAGTCAGAGGAACGCCTCTTCAACCAGGTGTGGGTGCTGAGTCCTGCCTCTCTCTGCTGGCTCTTCCTCAGAGGAATGTGTCCGGAGGTGGGGGAGTTGTGAAGAGGGCTGCGGTCACAAGCTAGAGAAAGCTCAGGAAATTCATTTCCTCCTCACAATCCTCCAAGCAGCCAGGCACCAGGTCTCCTGCTTTGCAGTTCAAAGAATGCATGCTATGTTTTGGGTCTAGGGGAGTAAATCTGTGAGGTAAATCTTTATAGTTCTGGTAACTGCCAATACCATACAAAAACCAGGACAGAATCTGTGTGACTGTCCCCTGCTCTGAGCAATAACACTTGGAACAAAAGGGATTAATGTGGAGGGAGAAATAAGGCGAGGGAAGCCCTTGAACCTCTGGTCTCCTGCATCATTCACCTCCAGTCCTCTCCCAAACCTGCCCTCACTTTCCTTCTTGTTTTAACTACTTCTCTCTGTCATAAAAGTAAAAGTTCTCACAGGCTAACAAATCTTCTCATGTTTTTCATAGCTTCAAACCTACAAGGGCTTTGTAAAGATTAAATCCTAAATTCTCTTTCAGGTCACTATTTTGACATTGGAGCACTGGAGATGGGGATAGGTGTGGGTCTGGAAGGATCAGAGAGTCTTCCTGCCTTTCTTTTTGTGTGAATGTGTGTTGTCAGGTTTTAGTTCATTTTGTGTGTAAGTCATCTTGTTACCTCACCACTACTTACACCAACAGTCCTACCTTCTGGCTGCATAGCTCTGGTCACCTGGAGGAAACCTATTCATCAATTTACTTTTTTACATAACTCAGTAGAAAATTTTTTGTTTGTCTTCTTTTTCCAGGTTCTAATCAAGGAACACAGATGCACAGATAATTAACTCTACAGAGTATAAAACACAGAGTCTGGAAACCATCTGCCCATCTCCCTTACTTTCATGGACAAAGGAAACCTGGTCTAAGTGTGGGAGTCACTTGCTCACAGAAACAGGCCTCTGATTCTGGCTTAGTGCCTTATCCCTCTCTCCAACACTTTCCTCCTCCACACCACGGTGGCATCGTGGGAGCACTTTTGCCAGCATCCACTCATCTCAGATCCAAAAGGCAGCTAGCTTAGTGCCTTATCCCTCTCTCCAACACTTTCCTCCTCCACACCACGGTGCTCACGGTGGCATCGTGGGAGCACTTTTGCCAGCATCCACTCATCTCAGATCCAAAAGGCAGCTTGTGAAAAATACAAATAATGTTGCTTTTTAAAAAATTTCGACTGCCTATATACATTCTTTGGGAACTTATGCTAGTAGAAAATGCAAATCTTTGATAAATTGTAAGGAAAAACTTAAGTCCTGAGCTTTCTGAGCTCAAGAAAAACAATAAATTTACATCTAGTCATTAATTCTTACATCTGTACTAAGGGCATGGCTATTCAGAGAAGATATGGGCCTTTTTTTTAGTCCTCAGACACAGGGTAGCTGTGTACAAACATCTCCTGTAGCAGTCTCCCCCATGATTCTATAGGCTGATACTGCATCTTCATTTCATTTATCTCAATGGCAAACAAAATAATTTCATCTTGTGATTTTTAAAAAATTTATAGCAAGTTGTCATTGAAGGATAAGAGGAAAAAAAGACGTCACAAAGTTTAAATTCTTGGTTCTTAAAGAGAATCCTAGAAAGATACCTTTCTTCACTACCCCAGCAATGCCCTCACCACACAGAAGGTGAGAGTAAACACTTAGCTCCTGGGGATAAAGCACAGCAGCAAAAGATCTTGAGGTCAACTCTGTGCTGTTGGTTGTTCGAAGGGAAAAAACTTACTTCCTGTATTATCATCAGAGGCAGATAAACTACAGAATCATAGCAGTTTAGAGTTCTGATACATTAGTTACAATCTAGTCCAATTCCCCCAGTTCAACAAACTGAAGCTTTCGAAACAATTTAAAGAAAATTTAGCCAAATAAAGATCTTTTCTTGCTAAACGCATGCCAAAGTGCCAACAAGATCCTGTAGAGAACTTCTCCCCACTTTGGTAAAGATCACCAGGAAAGTGCAGGGAGCCTTCTTTTGGGCTTGAGGTGGACGGCAGCACCAGCCTAGGGGCTGCAGTGGGCCAGTCAGCTCCTAGGCTCACTGGTCAATGCATTCAGGAACTGGGGCTCTCGGGCGATTTTTAACAGGAAATAATAAAAGCAGAGGTGTAAAACTGTTTGTTGACAGCATTTTATAATTCTGATTTCTTCTGTTTTCACAATAATAAGCCAACCAGGACGGTGTTAACTTACACAATTACCTTCCAGGCAGTCAGATGCAGCACAGACAAAAAAACAAAGGGCGCTCGCTGCAGGGTACCTGGATAGGCAGGGCCTTCTGCTCTTCCGCAGCGGCGACTGGTCTAGCAGCCTCGGCCTCTCAATCTGTTGGGTCCCTTCCAAATGTAGCGTACTGAATTCTAAATTCTAAGCATCAGCTGTAACTAGCCATCATCCAACTTGTTCACACTCGCCAAGCCCTCACAGAGGGGCACACAGGACCCCCCTCCCCCAGCTTTCTAGCCACACACCTTCGGTCCTGGTCTCCCTGGGCTCAGGCAGTCAAGCCGGCCCCTGCAGCCCCTACCTGGGGGTCTCCTTGGCCTTCTTGCACGTGTACAGCCACTTGATGATGCGGGCGTTCCTCTCAATGACCGAGGTGGTGCTGGGCACCTGCTCCACTAGCTCCTCCTCCTGCAGCCCATAGTCTTCACTGCTGTGTCTGGAGAATCCGCTGTCGGAAGTGGCGACGCTTACGCTGCGCAACTTGAGGGCGACGTGGTCCGACCCAGCGGAGAAGTTCTCCCTCCCGAGAGCCTCCACCACCTCCGGGTCCAGGCCGCAGTACTGGAAGAAAGTGTCAAACTCGGCCAAGGTCTTGGAGTAGCGGGAGCTGAGGTCTGACTGTGAGCGCTGCAGCCCCCCACGCCTCGCCACCCGCAGCTCAGGGCCAGCAAGCGCAGCCGGGTCCCCGGTGGGCACTGCGGAGGCTGGGGCTGAGGGGGTAGCTGGGGCCACGGGAGCCGCTACGGGGCCAGGCTGGGTCCGGGCGGGATCCCCGTCCCTGGCCTTGCTTTCCTCTCCCACTCGGGGCGTCTCAGGGATCGCCGACGCCTTGTCCTTGTCCGGCCCCTGGAAGAGCTTCTTTACCAGGCTCGCCCTGGAGCCGTCGGCGCTCGGCCCTCGCACGAACTCACACTTCTGTCGGTAGATGACCAGCGAGTCCGGCCTCAGCGGCTTCCGCGCAATAGCCCTGCGTGCCACCGGACCGGGGGCGCGGGATGGGGGCCCAGGGTCGCCCTCCTGCCCCTTGACCGACCCGGGCCCGTCTCTCTCGGAAGCGGGGCCACCGCCCACTCCGGGAAGGCTCCGCACGTACTTGGCGCGATCGGCAGCCAGCCTCTCCACTGCGCTCCTGCGCGCCGGTCGCGCCGCGTCCAGGTTCCGAAGAGCCTCGTGGTCCCGGGAAAGGAGCCGCTCGCTCAGGTCCGGGGCTGGCAAGGCGCGCATCCTCGCGGGGAACAGACCAGCCGGTGCTCGGTGTCCCGTGGAGACACGCTCGGGTAGATACGACGTTGGTCCCCGGACCAATTCCGAAGTCCGTGCAAGGAAAGGTACGGCGCCCCAGTGCGCGAAGGCCCACGTCCGGAGTTGGGGCGAACCCAAGTCGGCACCGATTGGCGAATTGCCCCAGTGCCCGCCCCGCAGGCTCCTCCCCGCCCGCCCTCATCCCCCGAGTGGCACTGCCCCCGCCCCCGCCCAGTGCCCCTCACCTCCTGCTGGGCACCCCTGCCCCCAGCACACCCTCACCTCCCGCCTGTTTTCCCCGCCCCCTGCCCGTCCCCCACCGTCACATCCCGTCGGGTCCCGCCCCCCGCCTCCGGTTCCCCCTCACCTCCTAGCCGCGCAGCCAACCGCGGGGAGGGCAGAGGGGTGGACCGGTTCTGAGAGGGCGGCGCGCCTGGGAGGGGGCGCTCAGGCGCCGGGAGGCTGGGCAGTTCCCCAGGACACTGGAGCGGGGAGGGACCTGGCTCGCTTGGCTCCAAATACAGGCTGCCACCTCCTGCTTTGGAGTACCTGAGGTCACCGCTGGACGCCGGCATTTCCGGGGAGAGGGAGGGCCGAGGGGACGGGCTCTTCTCGGGCAGGTGTCTCACGTCCCTTTGAATTCTTAAGGTGACCTCAGCGTGTTTGGAAACCTTTTACTGTTTAATTTCCTAAGTCTCTACCTGAGCTCATATTCTTGTTAGAATAGGATATAAACGGGAGGAAAACGCATCGTGGTCAGGATCAGTCTATGTGTTGAGTAGGAGGAACCCAGGGAGCCGGCAGGGAGGGACCTCGATTGGGCTGGCAGTGGGCAGGCTGGTGGATTTGGAAAAAGCCTGACCAGATTCCCGGAATCACTGCTATTTTTATTGTAACCGAGGCAACGGGGAAACCGCCAGTTCACCTGGCCGTGGATTAGCCTAGGAACGCTAAAAGTGTAAGAGAAAATATTTCCAAACTTCCATTCTTTCCAGAAATTGGACAAGAGACTAAAAATATCTGCCAGAAAAGTGAAACGTTCACGTTATCTCTTATGTGAAGGTCAGCTCCAGGACATGCTGTTCTTTCAAAGTTGTGCTTGAATGCTCTTGCAACACAGCAGCCCATGGGGGGTGGGGGGGAGCAGGAAGGTGCATTACGTCTGGGTGTGATTAGTTCCAGAAACATGTCTGGAGTGCGAGGGGCACCAACGTGTCACCAGTGATCAGAGAACCACAGATGCCCAGTGGGATGTGGAAATTTTTAATCCCCGTGAGCCTCAGTGAGGCTAAATCCCGTAGTTAGGAATAGAAACAGAACAAGAAAGCAAGTCTTCTGAGAACCAGACTGCCCAGATCAGCCTCACTGGAAAATGTTAGACGCACCAGAAAGGGAGAGTGTGCTCCAACAGGTGAAGGAGAGACAGAAAGAGACAGACAGAAAGAACGTGCTCCCGGGTTAGGCGGATTGTTTCCTGCAACAGGATGCTGGTGAAAGGGGCCTAGTGAAGTTAGAGTCCAGCCTGCTCTCTGAGCAACAAACCTGGTCTCTAAGTCAGAGGCGGAAAGGCGTTTTTATTTTATTTTTGTTTTCTTTCTTAATTTTATTTTGTCGATATACAATGAGGTTGATTATTGTGGCCCATTACCGAAACCCCCCTCCCTTCTCCCTCTCCCCCCTCCCACCCAACAATGTCCTTTCCGTTTGCTTGTCTTATCAACTTCAAGGAATTGTAGTTGTTAAGTCTTCTCCCCCGGTTTTTTTTTTTTGTGTGTGTGTGAATTTATTTATTTAGTTTTAGCTCCCACCAATAAGTGAGAACATGTGGTATTTCTCTTTCTGTGC